GAGCTGACTACAGGAAAGGGGACTATATGAGGATAAGGGACTATCTGGGTGAAGTGCAGTGGGAGGAAGAAATTAGAGGAAAAACAGTCCAAGATATGATGGACCTAGTCATACAGAAATGCCAGGAGGCCGAAGAGAGATTTATACCAACGGTAAAGGGAAAAAATAAGAAGGAATATAATAACCCATGGTTTAATAGACAGTGTCAGGAAGCAAAAATGGCCAGCAGGCGGGAGTGGAGGAAGTACAGAAGACAAAGAACAGAGGACAACAGAAGCAGATACAACAGAGCTAGGAACGATTACATTAACATAAGACGAACATCGGAAAGGGACTATGAGAACGATATTGCAATCAAAGCGAAAAAACAACCTAAGTTACTACACAGTCATATAAGAAGAAAAATGTCGGTGAACGACCAAGTGACAAGACTAAGGAAGACAGAGGGGGCATATACTGAAAGTGACAAGGAAATCTGCGAGGCACTGAATGCCAGTTTCCATGGAGTGTTCACTACCGAGCCTGAGCAGCTCCCATTGTTGGAAGGGGTTACCCTAGATGAAAGACTATCAGATATAGAGGTGACAGCAGAGGAGGTAATGAAACAGTTGACAACTCTAGATGCAACTAAAGCAGTTGGACCAGACAAAGTATCACCGTGGATACTAAAAGAAGCAGCACAGGCCCTCAGCGTGCCTCTGGCAATGATCTTTAATGAGTCACTTATGTCAGGAGAATTGCCCAGTTGCTGGAAGAAGGCAAATGTCGTGCCGATCTTCAAGAAAGGAGATAGGGAGGAGGCACTTAACTACAGACCTGTATCACTGACAAGCATCCCCTGTAAAATACTGGAAAGAATAATTAGGCTACGACTGGTTGCACACCTGGAGAACATTAGGTTTGTGAACAAACATCAACATGGGTTCTGGACAGGGAAATCGTGCCTAACAAACCTTCTGGAATTCTATGATAAAATAACGAGGATAAGACAGGACAGAGATGGTTGGGCAGACTGCATATTTCTGGACTGCCAAAAAGCCTTTGATACAGTACCGCACATGAGACTGCTGTTCAAGCTCGAGAGGCAGGCGGGGGTGGGGGGAAAGGTCCTAGAATGGATAAGGAACTACCTAACAGGAAGGAGCCAAAGAGTTACGGTAAGGGGCGAGAAGTCGGACTGGCGAACAGTAACAAGTGGAGTACCACAAGGATCGGTGCTGGGACCAATTCTATTTCTTGTGTATGTTAACGACATGTTTACAGGCGTAGAGTCCTACATGTCGATGTTTGCGGATGATGCAAAGTTGATGAGAAGAGTTGTGACAGATGAGGATTGCAGGATCCTCCAAGAGGACCTGAACAGATTGCAGAGATGGTCAGAGAAATGGCTACTAGAATTCAACACGAGCAAATGTAAAGTTATGGAAATGGGACTAGGAGATAGGAGACCAAAGGGACAGTACACAATGAAGGGGAACAGCCTACCTGTAACGACGCGTGAAAGAGACCTGGGGGTGGACGTAACACCTAATCTATCTCCTGAGGCACATATTAATAGGATAACGACAGCAGCGTACTCTACACTGGCAAAAGTTAGAACATCATTCAGAAACCTAAGTAAGGAGGCATTTAGGGCGCTTTACACTGCCTACGTAAGGCCAGTCTTAGAGTATGCCGCCTCATCATGGAGTCCCCATCTGAAGAAGCATATAATGAAACTGGAAAAGGTTCAGAGGTTTGCAACGAGACTCGTCCCAGAGCTACGAGGGATGGGGTATGAAGAGCGCCTGAGGGAACTGTGCCTTACGACACTAGAAAGAAGAAGGGAGAGGGGGGACATGATAGGAACGTATAAGATACTCAGAGGAATTGACAGAGTGGACATAGACGAAATGTTCACACGGAATAGTAACAGAACGAGAGGACATGGATGGAAGCTTGAAACTCAGATGAGTCACAGAGATGTAAGGAAGTTTTCTTTTAGCGTGAGAGTAGTGGGGAAATGGAATGCACTTCAGGAACAGGTTGTGGAAGCAAATACTATTCATAATTTTAAAACCAGGTATGATAGGGAAATGGGACAGGAGTCATTGCTGTAAACAACCGATGCTCGAAAGGCGGGATCCAAGAGTCAATGCTCGATCCTGCAAGCACATATAGGTGAGTATATAGGTGAGTACACACACACACACACACACACACACACACACACACACACAAGTGATGTGGTGGAGACTGACTCCATACACAGTTTCAAATGTAGATATGATAGAGCCCAGTAGGCTCAGGGATCTGTACACCAGTTGATTGACAGTTGAGAGGCGGGACCAAAGAGCCAAAAATCAACCCCCGCAAGCACAACTAGGCGAGTACAAGAGAAGCAGAGAGACAGTATGAAAATGATATAGCAAATAAAAGCAAGACCGAACCAAAACTGCTCCACAGTCACATCAGGAGGAAAACAACAGTGAAAGAACAGGTAATGAAACTTAGAACGGGTGAGGATAGGTACACAAAGAATGACAAAGAGGTGTGTAAAGAACTCAGCAAGAGATTCCAGGAGGTCTTCACAATAGAACGAGGAGAAGTCCTTGAGCTAGGAGAGATGGTAGTAAACCAGGAGGCCTTGGAAGGGCTCGAAATTACCAGAGATGAGGTTAAGAGGCATCTGTTGGATCTGGACGTGAGAAAGGCTGTTGATCCGGACGGAATCTCACCATGGGTACTGAAAGAGTGTTCAGAAGTACTTTGCTTGCCACTCTCCATGGTGTATAGCAGGTCACTGGAGACGGGAGACCTACCAGAAATATGGAAGACGGCTAATGTAGTCCCAATATACAAAAAGGGCGACAGACAAGAGGCACTGAACTACAGGTCAGTGTCCTTGACTTGTATACCATGCAAGGTGATGGAGAAGATCGTGAGAAAAAACCTGGTAACACATCTGGAGAGAAGGGACTTCGTGACAACCCATCAACATGGGTTCAGGGAGGGTAAATCTTACCTCACAGGTTTAATAGAATTCTACGGTCAGGTGGCAAAGATTAAGGAAAAAAGAGAAGACTGGGCAGACCGCATTTTCTTGGACTGTCGAAAAGCCTTTGACCCAGTACCTCATAAGAGACTGGTGCAGAAGTTGGATAAACGGGCAAGAGTAACTGGTAAGGTGCTTTTAGAATCTTTTAGAATCAGAGAGAGAGAAAGACCTGGGGGTTGATATCACGCCAGACCTGTCCCCCGAAGCCCACATCTAGAGGATAACATCAGTGGCATATGCCAGGCTAACCAACATATGAACGGCCTTTAGAAACTTGAGTAAGGAATCTTTCAGAACCTTGTATATCACGTATGTCAGACCAATCCTGGAGTATGCGGCTCCAGGATGGAGTCCTTATCTCGTTAAGCATAAAACTAAATTGAAGAAGATTCAGAGGTTTGCCACCAGACTAGTGCCCGAACTGGAGGGTATGAACTATGAAGAAAGACTACCGGAATTAAACCTCAAGTCGCTGGGAGACAGGAGAGTTAGGGGGACATGATCACCACATACAAGATTTTCAAAGGGTGGGGTAGAGAAAGGCAGTTTATTTAACACCAGGGGCACACGCACTAGGGGACACAGGTGGAAATTGAGTGCCCAAATGAGCCATAAATACATTAGAAAGAATTTTGTTAGTGTCAGAGTAGTTAATAAATGGAATGCATTAGGAATTGAGAGATGGGACCAGAGAGCCGAAGCTCAACCCCCGCAAGCAGAACTAGGTGAGTACGCACACGTCCTCGTCGGACGACGTAAAACAACCGACTTCCAAAGTAAGTAAGTAAGCAATTATCAAAAGAAGGCGCCAAGCCGTGAAGACTATGTATAAATTAGCCTAATTCAGGCCGAACATGACCCGGCCTAAGTGGCCAGTGAGGGAGCAACAGCTCACTTTATCAAGTTGCTGTGACAGGCGCCGCCTAAGGAAACTTATCACACTTTTATTTGTGTAAATTGGCGCGACATTCACAACTTACTGTGTTAACTCTTTCTTTCTTATCAATGAACAATTGTTTGCAAATGACAGCTGGACGTTTAGGGTACAACGCAACGCGATCAAGAATGGCACCTGGCATCTTAGATGTATGTCTTGCCATTAAGCACGCTGTTATTATTGGCAATTTCATGATTTTTAATAATTTTATGTTTAAGGCTGTCGCAGGATTCCATAAAAATTGATGTGAAATATGGCTGGATTGTTTCAAGCGAAGGCTAGACATGAATGATTTTCGTTGGTTATAATTTTGTTTAGGTTTTCCTGTAATTTGTTAAATAAAATAACAGCCCTGTATCAGAACTAATATTTACCCAGATCTGTATCCAAATTTATCCAATTTTCAATTCATTGTTTCGTGTTCCAAGTTGTGTTGATACATGAACACTCTGCTATTATCTCTTGTATTATACTTGTATTATACAAGATACAATCTTGTACAAGAACCCAGATCTTGTATTATATTGGTCTACTTCAATCATATCAAACCTTACTCTTCGCCGTTCTGGAAAATATAAATTAAGCTTTCTTAACCTCTCTTCACACAGAAGACTCCCACCCCCCACCTCTCCCCTATTTAACTACCCTGGACCTAGATTTTGGAATAAGGCCATTCGGTGGCTATTTGTCCGGTATGAGAAGACGTTCTTCCCGCTTATTCTGCTAATGGCTCGTGGACGCTGGCTGGGCCCTCCGCCACAACCCCGACCGCTCCTGAGGGAACAGGAGGCTTTAGAACCAATTAACGGACCAGATTTAGGTCTTCAATTTGCTTATCCATAAGAAAATATAATCATTTTGTCCGAGCGTCCTGCCAGTAGCCCCGGCGATTGTGCTCGGAAGGCCGTAGAAAGCAGGAGGAGCAAGATTTGGGATGAAAGGATGGTAGAGCCAGGCCGCGTCAGGCAAGTGAAGGGGAGTATAAATGGCGGGGCGGGCGGCCCTCCCTGCATCAGTCCGATTCTATCCACCGCCGACTCAACATCATTAGCAACAGCAGCAGCAGTCCACCACCACCACCTTCCTCAGTCGCCGCCTCCAGCAAATCCTTCCAGAAACAGTGCGAGCGAGGAGTTATATCGTCGCAAATCCGGAGAGAGAAAAACGAAAATTTTTACCGAACAGTTGAAGTTGCTGGTCGTATCCCCGCCTAAAAGCGTTCGTGCAAGAACTTGAGGATCCGTGACGCCACGAGTTGTGAGACGGATTCTCGTGAACGTCACTCGCATTTGTTTTTTCTTCAAGTTTTTTTTTTGTACGCATTATCCTCGTTCCCTCGGCGACTTCTGTGCCACAGTGATGGCTAGGTTTGACTGTGCAAGTGAGTGTTGAGTCTTGTTCCCGCCTCTCTTGAGTTGAATTATAGAAAATGGTAAAAAGTTTTGAAAATTCGCGGTGATCACTCTTCAACTAGGCTTCAGAAAGTTGCTTAAATATGATTATTTTTTCTCTCTCCCTTATCCTTTTTCCTGCACAGAACCTTAGCCTAGTGTACGCTTAAGTCTTTCTTCACTCTGGAAGCTAAGCTCAATGTATTTAATTAAATCTTTACTATCTAATCAGGCTCTTGCTAGATAAACGAGTCTCCATCTAGATAATCCATTATCTGCAAGTAGAATAAGTTTAAATCTACTTTCTCAGCTTGAACACCTCTGTCAGAGGTCTCTCCCTCTTTCTATAAGTCACTTAACATAGGTAGCTCATTCTACTTCATGCGTAGTTCATTCTACCTTTTTGGTAGCTAATTCTTCGTATGTAGCTCATTCGACTTTTTAAGTAGCTCATTCTACGTTATACGTAGTTCATTGTATTTATTAACTAGCTCATTCTACTTCTTAAGTAACTTATTCTGCTTCCTAAGCGGTTCATTCTACTTCTTGGACACTGCTCTTTAGTTCCTGGATTACTCATTCTACCTTTAGATAGCTTGTTTTATTGCATAGGCAGCTTATTCTAATTTGCAACCCATCCTCCGAATTGACAGTACGTTTTAACACTAAGTGTAATAAGTACATTTCCTGACTGTCATACATAGTACAAAATTGCACATATGGGGCTGTTACATTTACCTCCCCATTTTTGGAGGACGGGCTGCTAATTACATAGCTCATTCTAATTTCTAGGAACTCATTCCACTTCCTAAGTAGCTCATTCTACTTCTTAGGAAGTTCTACATCCTATATAGATAATTCTACTTTTTTAGGTAAATCATTCTATTTCCTATATAGGTCGTAGAATGACCTATATGGGTCATTCTGCGTAACTTATTCTACCTCCTTAGCGGTTCATTCTACTTATAATGTAGTCTGTTCTACTGCATGGTTTGATCATTCTACTGTTTAAGTGGCTCATTCTACTTCCTATATAGCTCACTCTACCTTTTATGAAGCTCATTATACATTCTATCTGGATCATTCTGCTTCACAGGTAGTTCATTCTACTACTTATGTAGCTCATGAAGTTCCTGCTACTTCCTGGTTTGCTCATTCTACTTATATTTCTCATTCAGCTTACATAGATCCTACTACTACTACTTATATAGCTCATTCTACTTACTTAGCTTACTTAGATCCTCCTCCTCCTCCTCCTCCTACTACTACTACTACTACTACTTATTTAGCTCATTCTACTTCATGGGTAGTATATATATATATATATATATATATATATATATATATATATATATATATATATATATATATATATATATATATATATTTGTAAAAAAATTATAAATTAAAAAAAATGGTTTCAGTGATTAAGGGAAAGTAGTATCCGTTATTGTTTGTCTCGTTCGTTGTGAGCCGTTATCAAGTGGCTGATAAAGCGGCTAACGATAACAGTGCTGAGGATAGTCCATAGTGAAGATGGTTACAGTGATGTAGAGAGTGTGCAGTGTAGGTGTGGCCTATGGCACCCGAGCAACGCCGGCCTCTAGGGTGCAACATAATTCCGCCCTTTTGATAGATCACTTCTGATATTATATGTTTTCTAAGTCGATATTTTTTTGTATATCAATTATTCATTTCATTGACCGACTATTTATGTATAGACCAATTATACATATATTGAGATGGATTATTGTATTAGATTATTTCCCCCTCTTGCATTTTTCTTGGATTTTTCTTTGATTTTCTTGGTATTTCTTGGATTTTCTTTGATTTTTTCTTGGATTTTTCTTGTTTTTTTCCTTGGCATTTTCTTGGATTTACACGTTTCTTTATCTCGGATAGAGCACTCGACTGCGCCCAGGTCTCTTCCCCATTCCCCCTCTCCCTTCCCCTCACCCCTCCCCCCCCCCCCGAGGGAGAGATTGGAAAGGGGAGAAGAGGGGAAGAGAGAGGGAGAGAGCGAAGGGGCCAGAGGAGGGAGGGTGGGTGGGAAGGGGGTGTAACAGAGGAAGAGGAGAGAAGAGAGGGAAGAGAAGGAAACATGGGAGGGGAAACGAGAGGATAAAAAAAAGGAGAGAGAAGAGGAGGGGATAAAAGGGAGATGGGGGAGAGACGGAGGTGGAGAGGGCGGAGGAGGAGGGGGGGGGAGGGGGAGAAGATTTGGAGATGAGGAAAGAAACAGAGAGAGAGTCCTGGGCACCACCTGGTACAACATATAATGTGTGTTCACTATTTGCATCTGCAGAATCGAGCTATTAGCTCTTGGACCCCACCTTTTTTAACCAATTTAACCCACAAAAACACAAAAGGAAACACAAAAGGACTAACAAAAAATAATCCATATATATTTTTTAGATAATTTATTCCTTTTTTTCTACCATGTGTCGGTCATTTTGTTCAATAAGTTGTTCTACTTGGGATTTTATGACAGGTTTTTAAATGCTATTTAATCGCTCAAAGATTTTTTTTCCATCGACCGTTCCTGAGAATATAAGAAAGATTTCAATTTCAATCGGCATATTTTTTAAAAATTATAATTTTTAAAAACTTAAAACAACGAATAACATCTCAGATGTTCAATAGTAAAGATAATAATGTTATTAGTAATACCAATAATAATAATAATAATAATAATAAGTAATAAAAAACTGTAATATCAGGGAATGTGAATAATGTCAAACAAGCAAGAAATTATGATCAAACAAGACTGCTTAAATATATAATATTATCTCAAAATAATTCGTTCAATGAAATTGATAATATATATAAAATTTTCAATACACATGGTTGAATACAATGAACACTTGACTCATTGTTAGACTTGAGGTCTAACAACCCTCTGGAGGGTTGTTAAGAGGCACTACAGTAGTTAATTGTTAGGTGTTGTTTGGTTCGTTCCACCTGGTTGTTGTGGTTGGCGCCATGAGCTGAGGTGGTTGCTGGTACCAGGACTGGTTGAGGGTTTGGGTGGAGGGTGGTAGATTGATGGATACAGATAGATACGTGCGGATAGATCCCTTGGTGGTAATAGACTGGCCTAGACAGTTAACAATGATAAGCTGATAGACATTCAGGTCGATAGATGGGCACATAGAAGGGTTAAGGGTGGGAAGAGGAGGGGGGGGGTGTAGTAGACATGCATAGGCTGAAGGGTAGATAGATGGAGCGATAGATTAACATACAGGGAGGAAATATGTGTAGTTACCGACATATAATTAGTAAGACTGGTCATCGGGGAATTGAGCCAGAGGCAACCATTAATTTTAACGTGCAGGAGAGTGGGGAGGTGTGAGGGGGGGGGGAGGGGAAGGTCGCTGCTTCTTCCTTTCTCACCTCTCTCACTCCCTCCCTCCCTCCTCACCTCTCACCAACATGTGGGGAGCCCATTACGTGTCTCTCTCCCTCAGGATAGGAGTGATGAAGGAGATGGTGTGTCTCTCTCTCTCTCTCTCTCTCTCTCTCTCTCTCTCTCTCTCTCTCTCTCTCTCTCTCTCTCTCTCTCTCTCTCTCTCTCTCTCTCTCTCTCTCTCTCTCTCTCTCTCTCCCTCCCTCTCTCTCTCTCTCCCTCCCCCCCCCCCCACCACCAGGCCAGCTACCGTAAGGGCTGGTAATCCTGGCACAGTGACCCCGTTATTACGGCACCAACATTTAATATACAGCATGAAATGTCAGCAGTTGAAGGTTGAAGTGTAATGAGTCACTGGCTGAACCCCTCCCATGGTCTTCCCCTCCCATGGTACCCCCTCCCATGGTCTCCCATCACCACCCACCTCCACGTGCATTCTTCCCCCCCCCCCCCCCCTTCCCCCCATCATTGCAGGATGACCTTGCCATAACGTTGAGCATCCTGTATTAAAAAGACACAGTCGCCGTGACCCGTCATGTTGACCTGGTGTTGACCTTTGACCCGGCTCCTGACCTTCACCAGAGCCAGGGTTGTTATTTGATAACATTATTTGAGCTCCTTGTTATTCTGATTTGGGGGAGGAGGGTCTAATGGTGTTGTTATTCTCTCTCTCTCTCTCTCTCTCTCTCTCTCTCTCTCTCTCTCTCTCTCTCTCTCTCTCTCTCCAAAATGGTAATAATTTGACCTCCAATAACCGTGAAAGCTAAAATTCAGTTCCTTAACCCATTATGGGTGTAGGTAGCGTTTATGACTGCCGCTCGCAGGATGAGTATGGATGAGTATGGGGTGCACAATACAAGAGTATGGGGTGCATAATACACGAGTATGGAGTGCACAATACAAGAGTATAGGGTGCATAATACATGAGTATGGGGTGCATGATATATGAACCAACTAACGACCTCTAACCCCCATCAGAGCGTCCCCAGAAAGTCCCCAGAGAGTCCCCAGAAAGTCCCCAGAGAGTCCCCAGAAAGTCCCCAGAGAGTCCCCAGAAAGTCCCTAGAAAGTCCCCAGAGAGTCCACAGAAAGTCCCCAGAGAGTCCCCAGAAAGTCCCCAGAAAGTCCCCAGAGAGTCCACAGAAAGTCCCCAGAGAGTCCCCAGAAAGTCCCCAAAGAGTCCCCAGAAAGTCCCCAGAGAGTCCCCAGAAAGTCCCGAAAGAGTATAAGCCCCCAGCGAACCTAATAGAGCCCCCAGGCCTGGTAACGCCGCCCCCCCCCCCCCCTCTACATTACTCACCTGCGTTGTCTCCCTCATTACAGGTGTGGTGTTGGTGGTGGTGCTGGGGGTGTGTCTCCTCCACTCCGTTAGCGCCGACTCTTCTCCAACGGTGTACGAGCTGCCCTCCAACGCTACCGTTGTCAACGGAGGCCCCATCGTCACGGGATTCAGGTCAGTGGGAGGAGAGATGCGAACCCGTTTGTTTGGCCGCTGGTGTCGACTAGCTTACATGTGTCGCAAGGTGTAACATATGACAGCTTGTCTAACATAGGAACTTCCTGCGGAGAGGTGAATAATGAATTCTTTAATGCTCTGAATACCACGTATGCAAGACCAAATCTAGGATGTGCAGCACCACTGACGAGTCCATATCTCCTCAAACACACACACACACAAACATACACATCAGTGTTGGTACTGATGAGTACCCAAATGAGCCACAGAGACGTTAGAAAGAACTTTTTCAGAGTCAGAGTGGTTAACAAATGGAATGCATTAGGCAGTGATGTAGTGGAGGCTGACTCCATACACAGTTTCAAATGTAGATATGATAGAGCCCATTAGACACAGGAACCTGTATATCAGTTGACTGACAGTTGAGAGGCGGAACCAAAGAGCCAGAGCTCAACCCCCCGCAAGCACAACTAGGTGAGTACACATAAAAACATTTACATAAACAAGCGCAATAATATAATCCCAATTGCAAGGTGAGTTGGTCACTCACACGAGGGGGTGGGGGGGGGGGGTGGGTACCCAACTCACCCCTTCCCACCCCTCCCCACCCCACATATACCCCCCCCCCTCTCCCCCATCCCCCCCACCCATCGCAACATACTATATACCCATTTATAAAAGTGCATTTTTTTTCCGCATTATTGTACAAGGGCCAAGAAAGTGCTACACACCCCAAGGAGTGACGGGTGGTAGTAGTAGTAGTAGTTTGGACCTTGTGCCATAGCTGCATACGTGTTAATTTTCCCTTTGGTTTGGTAGTTTGACATTATCAACAAACAGCTCAGATTATCATAATTTTTTTTGTTAATCCAACTTTATACTTATTTTCACTTATACAGAATAAGTAAAAACTTAAAAAACTCAATTATTGGTTTGTATAAATTAATTAATAGACTCGTGTATAGCATATTTACGCTAATTACTATTTTTTTATAATTTGCATTTATTGATATTATTCCTCATAAGTGACTTTCTTTGTTGATGTCGACAGTGACTCCTGACACGTCGTCGTACGACCCGACACGTCGTCGTACGACCCGACACGACGGTGATGAATGACTACGACGACCAATCCAGCCGAGACGACCCTACGACCGTTGACCCACTGACCTAAACACCAATTACAACGACCACCTGCAGATGTAACGGACACGACTACTGCAGGAGCGACGACGCTGTTCAGAGACGACACTGGAGTGTATTAATTTATAAAAGACTTGAAAGGCTGAAAGTGTCGCGACTTGAATACAGAGGCAAGAAACGACTATAATATTTTTTTTACGAGGGTGAGTATATATGTAGTGCTACGACGACAGCTACCACCACCACCACAACCACTACAAGTACCACCATCACCACAACTACCACCCTTTCTACAAATATTATCACCACAACCACAATTACCTCCACCACTACCATCATCACTCAACCACCACCATGACCACCACAACTACTCAACCACCACTACCATTACCACCGTATCTACCACCACAACTACCACACTACTCACAACTACACACCACCAGCGAATGTTCAGCACGTGTTCACCACGTGTTCAGCACGTGTTCGTCACGCGGGGCATAAGAAGCATGTCTCTGTTTTTGTTCGAAATGTTACCTGGCCTGTTCGGTTTCCTCAGTCTTTTACAGCTGTGTTCATACTGTTCATACTGGTCAGACTTTGGTAGTCTTTGTTCATCTTTGATAAACTTTTGTTCATTCTTGTTCACGTTTGTCTAAATCTTGTTTAATTCAGCCTTTTCAGACCCATTTGAAAATTTTCACATTCATGTTCATCTTTGTTCAGATCTGTTCACTTTTATTAAGAATGATTTACATTTTTTATTGTGTCAAGTCTTATTAAAATATATTTAAGATATTTTTAATATTGTTGAGTACTAAGGTCCCCCTCACAGTATCTTCCCCTCACAGTATCTTCCCCTCACAGTATCTTCCCCTCACAGTATCTTCCCCTCACAGTATCTTCCCCTCACAGTATCTTCCCCTCACAGTAGCTTCCCCTCACAGTATATTCCCCTCACAGTATATTCCCCTCACAGTATATTCCCCTCACAGTATATTCCCCTCACAGTATATTCCCCTCACAGTATATTCCCCTCACAGTATCCTCCCCCCTCACAGTATCCTCCCCTCACAGTGGCCTATAAAAGTAAGCTCCCCCCTCCCTCTGCCCTAAGTTACAGATAAGTCAGGCACGGGCTCACCATAGCCCGTGCTACTTGGAACGTTTTGTTCCCAGTAGCGAATATTAAACAGAGAACCTCCGCCCTCAGCTGTGACGGGCTGCAGTACGGGTACTACGCCGACGTCGCCAACGGCTGTAGAGTCTTCCATGTGTGTTACCCCTACCTGGACGCTGACCAGTTCCTGCGGACCCGTATGTGGTCCTTCATCTGCGGCCAGGGCGCGGTCTTCAACCAGGTGAGTGAGGGGGGGGGGGAGTCTTTACCCAGGTGAGTGAGGGGGGAAGTCTTTTCCCAGGTGAGTGAGGGGGGAAAGTCTTTACCCAGGTGAGTGAGGGGGGGAAGTCTTTACCCAGGTGAGTGAGGGGGGAAGTCTTTACCCAGGTGAGTGAGGGGGGGGGGGAGTCTTTACCCAGGTGAGTGAGGGGGGGAAGTCTTTACCCAGGTGAGTGAGGGGGGGAAGGTCTTTACCCAGGTGAGTCAGAGGGCTGGGAGTCACGCAGGTTAGTAATATTGCGGTTTTCAACTTAATCAATCATCGAAGAGTGTCCATGTTTGGTGATTGATCCAGGTCAATCAAGAAGTATATCTTGGGAGGTGGTCTTATCACACCTGCATCTTCCTGTAGGTCACCTTAATGGTTCAGTCACTTGCCACCCGTTGTAAAGCTGCATCTCTCTCTCTCTCTCTCTCTCTCTCTCTCTCTCTCTCTCTCTCTCTCTCTCTCTCTCTCTCTCTCTCTCTCTCTCTCTCTCTCTCTCTCTCTCTCTCTTACTCTCTGTTCTCAAGAACTTGCAAGTTGCACACTCCCCATTTTCTTGGCTATGAGGTTAAGTCTTACATAGAGCTCTGTGGTCTCATAATGTTCCAATGCTCGGCCACCCTTGTCTGCCTGTTCGATACGTAGTCTTTCAAGAAACATCTGTACCGGATGGACCTTGGCTGGTTACCTTGTCTTCTGAGGTGGTGCTGAGTGTAAGGGAACGTACGGAGGACGTCAGAAAGGTAAGAAGGGGCTCCTGGGAAGGTCAGGAATGGCCAGGGAACGTAATTGAAATAGGTCAAGGAATATATAACAATTAGTGTAGTCTGGAGACTTGAAAACGGAGAGAAAGAGAGGATTGGGGAGGATATGGAATAGTGTCAGGCAATATCTGGAAGAGATCAGGGAGGCAAGATTCATGGAAGGTACGAAAAAAGGAGGGGGGGGAGGGTTGACCAGAGAGGGGGCGCAGGAAAAGGGAGGGGGGGCGGTGGGGGGGGAGTCATACGGGGGGGGGGACCAGACATGGGTGAGTAATCAGGTCAGCTGGTGGAGTTGTGCAGGTGGTTGTGAATGGAGGAGGCGGGACGGCGGAAATCATTCATAACAGTTGTAAAATATCGAGTAGCAAACCTTTAACAGTTTATGAATGGAAATAGTCAATGGTAATTCGTTTATGAATGCTACGAGAACGAGACATTTTTTATGAATCGGAGCTGATCTAGATGAGTCAGCACGTTGTAAAATCATGACTGGGAGGCCTAAACCTGTTAGAAATGTTGCAAATGTTGGTGAAGAGGAAACACAGCGTGGTCAATAATGCCGATATTATTGTCAGTGGGAGACCAGATCAATATGTGTCAACAGCATGCTTAGTCTTCTCTTCGCCAAGTCATCCTGTCTATATATTATGGTCTTTTTCTGTCTCTCTGTCCAATTATTGTGTGCTGTTCTTATTGTACTCGCTGTTCTTGCATTATTCTAGAGTGAGGGTTGACCGCTTTATGCGTGTGATCTGGGTTTAGATGTCTTCGGGTTGACCGGAGCCCAGGAGCTGAAACTTGTCACTGAACAATTGTGTTCAGATGACACAGTTCTGTGGCTAGTTGTTGAACTTGGTTGACCTCAGTTTGCATGCTCGCTGTGTTGTGTATAGTTTATACAACCACGATAACAACAGTTGTAGTGTTGGGGTGTACATGACCTCATAAGGTACTATGGTTGGTGTCGTGTCTGAGTGACAGTTCTCTTCCCAGTGTTAACACTAGGAACACACACACTCCTTTATGTGTGTGTGTGTGTGTGTGTGTGTGTGTGTGTGTGTGTGTGTGTGTGTGTGTGTGTGTGTGTGTGTGTGTGTGTGTGTGTGGCCACCCGTGACCTCACCCAACCGGTTATCGTACGTGGTCACACTGAAGGGTATTGATAGTGGTTATGGTAGTGGTGATAGTGATGGTTACAGGGGTGGTAGTAGTGGTGGTAGTGATGTTGGTAGTGGTATTGGGGAGAGGTGGTGCTGGGGGGCGGTGTTGGCAGTAGTTATGGGGTTAGTGGTAGTCATGATGGTGGTGATGGTGGTAGTACAGGTGGTGATGGTAGTGTTAGTACTGGTGGTGATGGTAGTGGTGGTAATGGGAACAATGTAACATGGTGATGATCCGGGCACCCACCTACCGGCCTGTTGTTAGTACCGAGGATCAACGTCCCCCCGCGGCCCGGTCTCTGACCAGGCTTCAGCATGCTGTTCGGTGGTATGACGCAGGTGGCGGAGAAGAGAGGAGACAGGTTTGCCAGAGGTAGGTCAGTGGGGCGTATCTGAAGACGCGCCAGCCACCATAGCCGGCAAGGTCACGAATCTCGCCTCGGGAGAGACCACCAGGAGAGAGAGAGAGACCAACAGGAGAGAGAGAGAGAGAGAGAGACCAACAGGAGAGAGAGAGAGAGAGAGAGACCAACAGGAGAGAGAGACCAACAGGAGAGAGAGAGACCAACAGGAGAGAGAGACCAACAGGAGAGAGAGAGAGAGAGACCACCAGGAGAGAGAGAGAGAGAGAGACCAACAGGAGAGAGAGAGAGCAACAGGAAAGAGAGAGGGAAAGTGATTGACTGATTAGTTAAGGTTTATGGCGCGGTTGCAGCCGCGTCGCCGTCTAGAAAGTGAAAGGCAGAGATCTACCGGGTAGATCAGTAGATGTGAGGGGGGGGGGAGAGTGAGGTATGAGAGGGGGTAGTGAGGCGTGAGTGAGGTGGACCTGATGGTCTCTGGCTGGCTAGTCTGACATTCCAGCGTGTCTTGAAGTGTGAGAAAGAGTTCGAACCCAGGCCATGTGCAAGGCCCATCCGGTGTGACATCCACAAGAGGCCGGATTATTGATCTTTGTTTATATTCCTGATTAATCAACATCACATTCTTATGTATTCTCCTTTGGACTCATAATAGAATTAATCATTAATCATATTCTTATAATCCAGTATTCAAATATTTACAATATTGATTACAAATTATTAATTGTAATTTATTACAATTACAATTGTTTATTCAAATTGCATTCTTGCGTTTAACTTAGTAACTGAGTAATTAAAAATAATTCTTCGTCATTTAAAATTAGTTTTTCGATTTTTTTTTGTCCCATCAGTCATCCATCTTATACTCACTCACCCCTTATCTTTCACCCTTTATATACATCCACCACCCCCTTCTAATGACCCCTTTTTTAACCCCTTTGTCTCCCCCTTTCACCCCCACAGGTGGCGCTAGTGTGTGACCACACTAAGGACTCCATCCCCTGTGAAGACTCGCCCAAACACTTCGACTCCTCAAACGGCTACTTTGGACTCAAGGATGTCAACTTTAGAGAGTAGATGTGCGCCTTGGTTCTTGATGGTAGTTAATAAGAGATACCAGTAGATGGTTATATGCTAGTAGATCAGATATACTAGTAGATAAGATATACTAGTAGATCAGATATACTAGTAGATCAGATATACTAGTAGATCAGATATACTAGTAGATCAGATATACTAGTAGATCAGATATACTAGTAAGTCTGATATACTAGTAAATGGTAGTTCAGATGTACAAATAGATGGTGGATCAGAGATAATACTAGATGGCAGATTAGAGATACCAGTAGATAGTAGATTATAGATACTAGTATATGGTAGATCAGATATAATTACTACTATTTTGAGATAGAAGGAAAGGATTGTAGACAACCACAAATGTAATATTTTTTGTAATAGGTAAGTAAATAAAGATACTGGAAGAACAGAGATGACGAGAGATAAAAAGAAGGATTAAAGTATGCAAATGAAATAAGAGATAATGAGAAATGGATAAAAAAAATAGTAGATGAGAGAGAGAGAGAGAGAGAGAGAGAGAGAGAGAGAGAGAGAGAGAGAGAGAGAGAGAGAGAGAGAGAGAGAGAGAGAGAGAGAGAGAGAGAGAGAGAGAGAGAGAGAGAGAGAGAGAAAGAATTCAGTAGATTTCCTATTTAGTTGATGCAAAATTGGTATGTGTTGTTCACAGTAAATTGGGTAGTTAATACCGTCTCTATTGACTGTGAGATATTTCTTAATTGTTAGTTGCTCAATTAAGTAGTTAACTGGTTGAAAACTTGGCTATTTCTTCAATTGGTGTCATTTGGTCGATTAATTTATTAAACAGTTATTTGATCCGTTAGTTGATCGATTTAAATATGATCAGACTAATTGACCTGTTTGATTGGCAAATTTATTAAATGATTAATTGATGGGCAAATTGATTCAATAATGGAGTAATTGATTTATTAAACAATTGATTAGTTTGAGTGACTAGGTTATTGGCTAATCAGCTGACTAATTGACTAGTTTTTGTGACTAGGATATTGGTTGATTGACCTGGTTGACTGAGGTTGATTGACCTGGTTGATTGAAGTTGATTGGCCTGGTTGATTGAAGTTGATTGACCTGGTTGACTGAGGTTGATTGGCCTTTTTGATTGAAGTTGATTGACCTGGTTGATTGAGGTTGATTGACCTGGTTGAATGACCTGGTTGATTGAGGTTGATTGGCCTGGTTGATTGAAGTTGATTGACCTGGTTGATTGAGGTTGATTGACCTGGTTGAATGACCTGGTTGAATGACCTGGTTGATTGAGGTTGATTGACCTGGTTGATTGACCTGGTTGACTGACCTGGTTGATTGAAGTTGATTGGCCTGGTTGATTGAAGTTGATTGACCTGGTTGATTGAGGTTGATTGACCTGGTTGATTGAGGTTGATTGGCCTGGTTGATTGAGGTTGATTGACCTGGTTGATTGAGATTGATTGACCTAATTGATTGGTTATTGAAGCTGATTGACTAGTTATTTGACGCAAAACATTTAGTGACGGGAGATAATAACAAAATATAAGACCTCCCTGGACAAAAGTAGATGTTTTACACCTTAGTTCCGGATGTCTCAGATCGTCTGTCTGTCACCTGCTAGACGAACGCCCGTGGGAGCATGAAGTGTGCCAGTATGAGGTGTGGGCTAAACATGGGGTGTTTTGTAAGAAGAGGGGAGGGAGGGGAGAGATTGATGTCTGTTAGATATGAGTTTTCTCTCATGATACACTGTTATTTGTGGACACGGGTTGTGGTTGTTAGTTTAAGTAGTTTTACAGTGTGTGTGTGTGTGTGTGTGTGTGTGTGTGTGTGTGTGTGTGTGTGTGTGTGTGTGTGTGTGTGTGCGCACGCGGGGTTTTCCTGATCCGGATTCACAATGTAGGGAAGCATCAAAGGGGAATAATATTACTCTGCCATCTTAGCTCGGTCGTCATGACTATCTCCCATTCTCTAAAAAGCCCAACACCGACAAACTATCCCTTGAGCACTCGCGAGCAGAGCCTCCTTCCACCTCCCTCCCAGCATGTGCCATAATGTGAAAGCAAGACGGGGTTCTCCAGTCGTGTTGACGTTCCTGAGAGGCATCCGGATTCTGCGAGAATGTTTACAGTCGTAGGGAGTGACCACGACAACAGAAAGTCACTTTTAGATACGAATCTGTGTGTGTGTGTGTCTGTTTCTCTCTCTCTCTCTCTCTCTCTCTCTCTCTCTCTCTCTCTCTCTCTCTCTCTCTCTCTCTCTCTCTCTCTCTCTCTCTCTCTCTCTCTCTCTCTCTCTCTCTCTCCGTTATGCTCTCCCGTCACAGGCATATTTCTATGCATTTCTAAACTGCATAGAAATAGCTCGTTTTCTTCAGTCAAGGATATGACCACGGTATACAAAGTTTGTGCTGCTTGCATAGTGCAGACTCTGTAACTCCACAGTGTGGACATGCACTCTGTAACTCCTCTTCTTTTCGCGTCTAATTCCTTTTATCTCCTTAACACCTTCAAATTAAAAATATAATATACAAAAAAATATCAAATTATATATTTTCATGTATCCAAAGAGTTTTCTAAACTATCACAAAAAAACGAAATAAAAATGTCAGTGTATATATATGTATATATATATATATATATATATATATATATATATATATATATATATATATATATATATATATATATATATATATATATATATATATATATATATACGGCCTGCGTCCATGTAGGTGGTGAAGAACATTGTTACCAATTAATACTGTTTTCAGAGGTGTGAGTATTTGTGTGAGAGCGTCGCCTGGTGGATGTGAAAGAAGGTGGTTTGTGTATGGAACCTTTATGACAGTAGTCCTTATTTACGGTAGTCCTGATTGACGGTAGTCCTGATTGACGGTAGTCCTGATTGACGGTAGTCCTTATTTTCCCCTTTCTGCTGAAGAAATTTGCATAACTGTTATCCCATGAGCGTATTTGCCAATATTGTTTACATTATTTCGCCTCTGTGATGGCGGCTCTGTGGAGCCTCTGAGGTTGGTAGCCCTGCGTGGCTTCTGGCGTTGGCAGACCTGAATATGTGCTCTCTATTTAGTTGGCAGCCCTGCGGGACGCGCTTGTTGTTAGTCCTGCGTCACTTCTGATGTTGGCAGCCCTGTCTTGTTGTCTAGTTGGTAGTCCTGCATATTTCCGTAACGTTGGCAGGCTGTCTTCCCTAATGAGATTAGCCCTTACATGGTCCCTTAATGTTAGTAGCCCTGCGTAATCCCCCTATCGTTGGTAGCCCTGTGTGGTGCCTTAATATTGTTAGCCCCTACGGAGTCCCCTAATGTTGGTAGCCCTGCGTGGTCCCCTAACGTTGGTAATCCTGTATAGATGGAACAGTTGGCAGCCTTGCCCGGCCATCACTTGTGATATTCTATATCTTATTTTTATTATAAAGCTGGACATGCTGTTGTATTTGCCTAAATTAAATATAGAAAATGTTGATGAATAAACAAATGACTTTTATTAACCATTTTAGGTCCTCGGTAAATACGAAGAATGATAAGCGTAATAAACATAATATAAGCAATAATAATACATAATAATAAATGACGATTGCGTAAATCATCATTTCATTTATAATGCAACACTAGACGATACCAGGCAGCACCAGGTGACACCAGGAGATACCAGGCAACACCAGGTGACACCAGGAGATACCAGGCAGCACCAGGTGACACCAGGAGATACCAGGTGACACCAGGAGATACCAGGCAACACCAGGTGACACCAGTAGATACCAGGCAGCACCAGGTGACACCAGGAGATACCAGGCAACACCAGGTGACACCAGGAGATACCAGGTAGCACCAGATGACACCAGGAGATACCGGGAGACGCCAAGGAACACCAGGCAAGTGGATGATTACCTAGTTCAGAGAGGCGGCTGTGATACGGGTGATCCAACATGGCGGTCGGGTGATCAAACATGGCGGTCGGGTGATCAAACATGGCGGCCGGGTGATCCAACATGGCGGCCGGGTGATCAAACATGGCGGCCGGGTGATCAAACATGGCGGCCGGGTGATCCAACATGGCGGCCGGGTGATCCAACATGGCGGCCGGGTGATCAAACATGGCGGCCGGGTGAACCAACATGGCGACCGGGAGAACCAAACACATCGGTCGGTTGATCTAACAAGACAACCGGGTAACCAAAATATGAGGGAAAACGTTTCGTATTTTATATATAAATAGGGTATATATACACACCAGGTGTGTGACGTCACTGTGACGTCATAACATTATCCCGGCTCAGGTTTTGAACCCTACTGGACGGAGAAGGTCGCCTGCTCCAACCGTCTCTTTAGAGGGGGAAAAAACAGCGCGGACGCAGACAGGAAATGTGTTGGAAAACAGCCACATACACACACACCCCTCCCCCCTGTGATAATAGCCAAGGTCCTCCGGTAAGATCAAAGTTCTGCCCACTCGCTAGTGAAGTGAGAGGAGTCGAACCTGTCAAATATTAGTGGTAATAGTAGTAGTAGTAGTAGTAAGAATTTTACTAGTTTAGTTTAGTTCATTTATTATGCACCCCATACCCATCTTGTGGGCGGTAGTGGAAAGGGTTACAGAGGCACATAATGGGCTCAGGGACTGAACCCCACAATTCATTTAACTAAGCAAGTTACAATCTTGATGAGCTAGTTACAAAATTCAATATAAGTCGTCACATCATCAATGAGTTCGAGATCGACCTCTAGTACAGGTTCTAAATTAAGCAACTGACATATGTGGAGAGCTAGTGTCACAATTGATATGTTTGTCCTGCACACCGCCCCCCATCCAGTGGGCAGCGGTGGATAGGTTACAATCACTTAGTTACTACCTACAGTTAGCAAACTGGGGATATTTGGCTAAAATTTCTGGTAGCAGATCATTTTGAATGAAATATTTGCACATCTTTGGAACATTGGTTATAGAATTGTCTCTGAATTCACGTATCTTTTCGCACTCCATCACATAGTGACGGAGTGTGTGCGAATAATTTTGTTGGCACAGTTTACATTTGGTCAGGTCTACATCAGCAGACAATGAGAATTCCCAGAGATACTTGTAACCGAGTCTAAGCCGAGCAGTAGTAATATCTAGAAGTCTGCTGATTTTATTGGATGAACCATGGATGTGTGGCTCAGAAAAAATCCCATTATCGAGATATACCAATGAACAGCTCCACAGGAGCCGTGATGAGGATTCGAACCCAGATACGATTCGAATACGCTAGGTATTCCCAGACACACGCTCTAGTCGACTGCGCCACGACAGGGTCAAAAGAATTGCAACCTGGGGAATCCTCGAGGATTCCTGAGGCTCCCACTGAAACCCAACCAGAGTTTCCCACATTTCACCCCCCCCCCCATGCACTCTGACGCCCCGCTTTCAATACACAGAGAATTTTCTGTGCCTCTGTACCACAGGGTCCTCGCGGCACAGGGGTCGTAGTCCTAAGGGCCCGGGTTCAATTCCCGGCCGAGGCGGACACAAACACGAGAAAACGCTTCAGGAATCTACAGAAACATGCATTTCCAGTTATAATATATGACCAGCAGGGGGCCCCCCGTCCCTACCTCAATATGCACAGGATAGACAGAAAAATAATTCTAATGCCACTAAAAGAAATAAATTACATAGGGGGGGGGACATGATCCAGATATGCAAAATACACTATATTTAAAAGATATTGATGAAACAGACTCTGGGTGCTTTGGTTGAGCAGTGTATCGAGAGGGCAAGCATGGACATGAGCCGGGGCACGAGGTTATCTTGAGATATGTTATCTTGAGATGATTTCAGGGCTTAGCGTCCCCGCGGTCCGGTTCTCGACCCAGGCCTCCTGCATGGTCTGGTCGAGGAGCTGGACCTCGGTTGTTGTTGTTAAAGATTTAGCTACTCAGGACGAAGTGTCCATGTAGCACGGGCTATGGTGAGCCCGTAATGGACCTCGGAGTGAGTGTTAGGTAAGTATTGGTAGGTAAGTACCCACGCGTTTGGTTTCGTCCACCTGTGAGGTGAAAGGTAGGAAGGTAGGGGTTATGTTTCGGACCCTCCTGTCCCCTCAGCCTACCCCTCCCCACACACTAGGGGAGGGAGGAAGGAAGGGGACACCGGTAATATGTGAAGGGGGAATTTGAAGTCTACAGGTCTTTGTGTGTGAGTCAAGGGTAAGCACGTGTGTGTGGGGGTTCTTACCTATTTGTGATGGGCTGGGTCTCTCTCTCTCTCTCTCTCTCTCTCTCTCTCTCTCTCTCTCTCTCTCTCTCTCTCTCTCTCTCTCTCTCTCTCTCTCTCTCTCTCTCTCTCTCTCTCTGCCTCTCTCTCTCTCTCTCTCTCTCTCTGTCTCTCTCTCTCTCTCTCTCTCTCTCTCTCTCTCTCTCTCTCTCTCTCTCTCTCTCTCTCTCTCTCTCTCTCTCTCTCTCTCTCTCTCTCTCTCTCTCTCTCTCTCTCTCTCTCTCTCTCTCTCTCTCTCTCTCTCTCTCTCTCTCTCTCTCTCTCTCTGTCTCTCTCTCTCTCTCTCTCTCTCTCTCTCTCTCTCTCTCTCTCTCTCTCTCTCTCTCTCTCTCTCTCTCTCTCTCTCTCTCTCTCAAGTCTAAATACTCTCTCAGAGTAGTTAACAGGTGGAATGCATTAGGCAGCGATGTGGTAGAGGCAGATTCCATATACAATTTCAAATGTAGGTATGATGAAGCCCATTAGGCTCGGGAATCTGTACACCAGTTGATTGACAGTTGAGAAGCGGGACCAAAGAGCCAGAGCTCAACCCCCGCTAGTACAATTAGATGAGTACAAGGTATGACGTCATAATTTCATCGTACCTCTCCAATAAACTAGCGGCTTCGGCTGCAACACTCAAAAGACTATATCTGATCCTAAAATAGAGGCAAATTATTGCTCTTGTACACTTTTCATTATTTAAAAAATTTATAATATACAAATTATATATTATAATCTATATATCGTATGTATTTAATCACATACAAAAATAAAAAAATGTGGATCCACTGGTGCAGACGCTGACCAAGATGGTGTTTAACGTAAACAAAACAACCCAGCATGGAGGAAGAGGACATTGTCAGCTTTAAGGACCTTGTATGCATTTTTCTAGTGGTTTTGAAGACATTTATGAATAGATTTTGGCGTTACGACTATGATATTTTACTTTTATCAAAGATATGATGATAGGGTCGCACTGTAGATTAAGTTTCTAGCCATAAACATGCGGCCTAACGCTACAGTTATCTGGTTGGTTGTGTGTGGCGAGGGGGTCCAGTGCTGACCTTCCCGGGATACGCTAGTATTACTTGCTGAAAATAGTTTTCCCTTTAAAAATCAAATTCTTCTCTGACAGTTCCATTCATAACATGGACAATGTCTTTTTTTTTTCCTTATACCTTGATGCTGCTTGATAGGGTTCTGTGAGTTCTTCTACTCCCCAAGCCCTGCCCAAGGTCAGGCTTAACTTATGAGAGATTGGTCCACCAGGCTGTTGCTTGGAGCGGCCCGCAGGCCCACATATCCACCACAGCCTTGTTGGTCCGGCACTCCTTGAAGAAAACTACCTAGTTTTCTCTTGAAGATGTCCACGGTTGTTCCGGCAATATTTCTTATACTGGCTGGGAGGATGTTGAACAACTGTACACCTCTGAAGTTTATACATTTGTGTTAAATTCATTGCTAACCATGTGATTTTATATATACATCAGATCTGTTGTACCAACACAGTTTCTATGTGCTACAGTAATCTCTCTTCTTTCCTATGTGGCAGGGTGTCATCGATGAACTGTGTGAAGCATGCTCTCGACTGGGATGGAAGGCACCAACACCCATCCAGAAAGAAGCAATTCCATTGGCATTGAAAGGTAACTCTTGTTTTCTAAGTCTTTTTCAAGTTTATCATAGTCTTGTTCATTTATTTTCTCATGGACTATTTATACAGTTTTCTGAATCCATAGGGATACAAAATGCTATACAGTGAGCATATATATATAAGTCTTTAGAGACTAAGAATTACAGCAACATTTTCTCTCATCAAAAATTAGTTATCTGATTATTAAATGTCTTTTTTCATTTTTCAATAACCTGTGTGAAATTAAAATCCCATAACAGTACTGATAATATGCTTAAGAAACTGGAATAACTTCCAAATTCTTGATGCACTGCTGTCGACCTGTTCTCCACACTTAATTATTCATGGCTTGGCTGAATAGGTCTAATTGAAAATCAAATGATGTGCAAAATTTGTATTATCAAAATGATATTATCAATTTGTCTATGAGTTTTGTTACTTCCATGTTTATTTTAGTGAAACATAAGTATTTAACACCTTACCTGGAGCATACATGGAGAGGGTTTCGGAGTTCTTCTACTCCCGAGCCCGGCCTGGGGCCAAGCTCGACATTGCTTATAAAATTTCAAAATGGCATAATATTTACTAAGTTTGAACACGAACTTCTCTTGGCTGGCATGGCCTATGCAAAAACTGCAAAGTATTCTAATAACATCTCTCCTATTATGTGGCGAGGTAAATACACTAAGAAATTGAACTGTAATAGCAACAAATTATTAAATAAATACAGTAGTGATTAGCTATGATTAAATATGATTAAAACATAGCTATTGGTAGTTACTGATGTGGATTCATTTTGCTGGATTGTTTGATAATTAATTTGTCTATGTATTTCAATAGGATAATAGAGATGTGAAATATGGAACATTTCAGAGTACAATACTACTGTAGGTCTGTACACTCGTTTAATAATGACAGTATAATAAAATATTGAAATACTGTAATACATATACTAGTGGTAAAAAATTTTATTAAATGTTTTGTATATTTTTAGATAAAGATGTCATTGGCCTGGCAGAAACTGGCTCTGGGAAAACAGGAGCCTTTGGTATCCCTGTACTTCAGGCCCTAATAGCTCGACCACAACGACTCTTTGCTCTCATTCTGACGCCAACTCGAGAATTGGCGTTCCAGATTAAGGAGCAGTTTGAGGCTCTGGGTGAGTTGCTCTTATATTAATTGGTTGCTAGTATCTGTTGTACTTTGAATCCCATTTTTTATATTTGCCTTAAACAAATGAAGTTCGATAAAGCTGTTTTGCACTAAATATTAAAATTAAAATAACTGCAGTACTTCAGGGGAAGTTTGAACATGAAAGTTCAAGTACTGCAGGGGGGAAGTTGTCTTTAAAGTGGGGAAAGAGTGGACTTTTTAAGATCTGTGGAACCTAATCTAGTGATCGTCTGTAACCTAGCAATGTTATGGTTAAATTTCATTGTTTATTTTATATTACAGTATTTCTTTATTAAATTTGTTTTAATTTATGCTAAAACAGGTAAAGCAGTGGGTGTAACATGTGTAGTTATTGTGGGAGGGTTGGACATGACTCAGCAGGCATTGGAGCTCGGAAAGCGGCCCCACATAATTGTGTCAACACCCGGCCGTCTTGTGGACCACCTCGAAAAAACAAAGGGTTTTAACCTTAAAGCCCTGAAGTACCTGGTAAGAATTTATTAACTTTTCGCCATGCATCATACTCCTCTCCATTTATTCCAAAGCGTAAATCTATAATTAAATGGGTACATTCGTATAATTATAGTAGCTAATACCTTAATAATGGCCCACGGTAGACTGAAATCTGGTGACGTTGCATCCTGTGTTGGTGTCTTTAACTTTATTTAATGGAATGACAGTGAACACCATTCCCTGCTATTTTGCTGTAGAAACAAGCAACTTGACTACATTCTGCTTGTTACTTTTGGGGGGAAGTGGAAAGCAGGGGTTATGGCTTTAGTTATACTCTTTGTACCCAACAAATCTTATTGAAGTTACAGCATGCATTGAAAACATATTGAAAATTACTTAGGATTTTAATGTGCTGACCTGTCAGCAATTTCCCAACCATAAATGTTCCCGGAATCTCAGGGTTCTGCATAAATGTTTATACTCACCTAATGTTTCCACAGTTTTTGAGCTATTACTATAAGTTTGGTGTCAAAATGTTCACAAATAAGTTTGCTAGAAATATAATGTGATTTGATAATAGAATTTGCCTGAAGGCACTGAATGTACAAATTTTTATAAACATTATAACATTTCTCATGTATTTCTCATCATTCCTCATGTACAGTATTATCAACATAAAAATAAAACATATGGAAATGTGAACACATTATCAGTCTACATTACTGAAAAAAGAAAGCGATCATAACTTTCATACTTTTCTGGCAGGTAATTTGCAAAGCATGGTGAAAATTTTTACAAGCAGGCCAGTTGTTGTCTTGAGCGATATAGATAGTTTGCCGAGGTCATCTCCGGTTGGTCTCCTGATACCTTGGTTGGTTCCCTGATAAGCTATGCCTATAATGTGCTAAAAAAATTGTTTTGGGGAATTATAAGATATGTTTTAGTGCAACCTGTCCTCATGGATGGGGGGGGGGGTTACCCTTGAAGTAATCACTTCAAAGCAATATGTAATTACAGTAGTGCCATTATCTACTCTCTATCAATGGTTAGGTTAGGTTATAACAGTGTGTTATTCTCAAATGTGAAATTTGAAAACAATTTGAGCATCCCCCTAGAATTTCATTTACAGAAAACCAAATTCTTCAGACCATTTCAAAGAAAACAAGTGTTGCACATTTATTTATATATACAAGAGCTCTAACATTCATGTAAAGCCACTAGCATGCATAGCATTTCGGGCAGGTCCTTAATCTTAATTTTCCCTGGAATATGACCCATCAAATAGTTTAACAACCAGGTACCCATTCACTGCTGGGTGAACAGAGGCATACAGTTAAAAACTGGCACCTAATCAATCCTCACTGGCTAGGATACAAACTCTGGCCAAATTGGTGATTTAATTTTATCATGCTAAAATAGGTCTTTACCGTTTTATTTTATAGTGAAATGTTGAATTAGAGTTTACTTCAGCCCAAGCAAAATGTCCTTGTATTAAGTTGTGATGTGTGATGGTGTGCTGCTCTGGGTAGAGCTAAAGCTGTCTTTTTCTGCAGATAATGGATGAAGCAGATCGCATTCTTAACATGGATTTTGAAGAGGAGGTTGACAAGATACTGAAGGTCTTGCCTCGTGAGAGGCGCACAATGCTCTTCTCTGCCACCATGACCAGTAAGGTGAACAGTTGATAGTGTATATAGTTATACTCTTCAGTTGTCATTTTGAAGACATTGAAATTTCCCTAATATGTGGCCTGAATCTGCACACGCATAATTGATCTTTATGCATGTGATCTCGCATCAAACCATATTGATTTTTTTTTTTCTTTTAAGTTTATTTTAGTCACTTTTAATTGTGATAATTTTTTTTTAACATTTGCTAAAAATATTCTGGATATTTTATTTGTTATAGTCCTTACTTCGGAGCAATTTGTGAATCTTGTTTTATTTAGCACAAATTGTTGGAATTTAGTTTTTATTGCACTCGTCATGTGTGTTCCTGGTAAGGTAACTGTTTATAAATTTTCGGGCTACAAACCGTCTCTAGGAATGGATTAAATTCATAAGCTGAGGTACCGCTGTATACTCACACCCTAATATTTTTCATGCTCTATGAGCTGATTTCAACTTGACATATGAAGGACAACTACCAAGAGAACTTGTCTGGAAGGAAATTTAACTACATTAGCATATTCCCCACTCCCTATGCTTTGAAACACAGTTTTCAAAGGTAAAAGGACCTAAGAATCTAAGGATTTCATTGCACATGCCCCCTTGCCTTTCTTGGTTAAAGGCCTTTAAACATCATCTACAACAATTCTTCTTTACATCACTTGCATCCAAGTTAATTATACTTCATCCATGTTCAGTCTAATGTTTTAGGATCACATTCAAACCCTGAAAAGTACTCTCAATATTTTATTTATAATTGTCTACTTTATTATATTTTCAAGTTTTTAAATGTTAAAAAATCATTTTGATCTTTAGAAGCCAGATTTCCACAATTCTGTTACTTCACTGTCAGATTTCCTTTCATAATTGCCCCTATATATAATTAATTTTTAATGATCTTAACCAGGTTAACAAACTACAGCGAGCACATTTGAAAGATCCTGTGAAAGTGGAGGTGTCATCCAAATACCAGACAGTAACCAAGCTGCAGCAGTATATGCTTTTCATTCCATGCAAACATAAAGTAAGTTTTAAAGACTCAGAGAAATTTATATACGCTTCTGACATTTTGCCCTATATTCAGTAACTTTATTTTGGATGAGAAAATCCACAGGAGCCATGATGAGGATTCGAACCTATGCGTTGGATATTCCCAAATGCACGCTCTAGATGACTACGACACGACATGGTCATGGCCATGTTGTGGCGTAGTCGTCTAGAGCGTGCATCTGCGAATACCCAGCACATAGGTTCAAATCCTCATCACAGCTCCTGTGGATTCTCTCATTGATATATCACGGTAATGTGATTCCTCAGTGTATTATTTTGGATATTGATGACTTTACATATTTGCAGCACATATACCTGGCGTACATCTTGAATGAGATTGGAAACCAGTCTGTTATCATCTTCTGTGCGACTCAGCTATCAACCCTCAAAACTGCACTAATGCTGCGAAACCTGGGATTCACTGCTATTCCGCTATATGGGAAAATGTCCCAAAACAAACGGCTTGGAGCACTAAATAAGTTCAAAGCAAAAGAAAGATCTATTCTTCTAGCAACAGATGTGGCCTCAAGGTAATAACAAAGCTTATTTGAAAGCTACATGTCACATTTTTCAAAATCAAATAGTTTTTTTGACTTTAAGATAGTAGAAACTACTATATTGATAAATACAGGGAGGGTAAGGAGACAATCAGCTTATTAAATTATATTAAAATTGTTAATATAATATTCAATTGATATTCAATTTCAAATAATGTCCAAGCTTGCACATTGCAAATATATCTGATACACTGATAAAAAGCTAAAGAACTGTTTTGTGTGTGTATGTAAGTGTGTGTGTAAGCAAGCAAGCAAGCAAGTAAATACCTAAGTGTAGTTACAGGATGAGAGCTACACTCGTGGTGTCCCGTCTTCCCAGTACTCTTTGTCGTATAACGCTTTGAAACTACTGATGGTTTTGGCCTCCACCACCTTCTCACTTAGCTTATTCCAACCGTCTACCACTCTGGTTGCCCCAAAGAAACTTTCTTATATTTTTTCGGCACTTTGTTTCCTTAACTTGAATCTGCATCCTTTTGTTCGTGAAGTTGCTGGTTTCAGGAATTACTCTTTGTCAATTTGGTCAAATCCTGTTAATGATTTGTAAGTGGTGATCATATCTCATTTTCTTATGTGTTCAAGTTTTGGCATGTTTAATGCCTCCTGTCTATCCTTGTAAGTCTTGTTTTTCAGTTCTGTAAGCCATTTTGTAGCATGCCATTGCACCTTTTCCAGTTTATTTATGTGCTTCTTGAGATTTGGGCACCATACAGCTGCTACATATGCACAACACAATGCACACAACTGTGTGTATGTGTGTGTTTGCTTGCCCCTGCCAACAAATGACCACTAACTACTTACAACATTTCTCCTTATGGTTGTAACACACATTAAACAGAAATCATTTATAATTTGCAGGCTAATTTATTGCATTAATTACTGATGCATTATAATTTGTAGAATATTTAGCTAAATTAAAAAGTAATAAAACAGCATACTGTATACATTGTAGATCAAGTGGAAGGCAAGCAGGAGTAGTTAGGGAACTGAAGGCAAGGAGGAGTAGTTATGGAATTGAAAGAAGGGAGTAGGAGCTAGGGGAGTGAAAGCAGGCAGGAAAAGTTATGGAAGTGAAAGCAGGCAAGATAATTTAGGCTTAGTAGCCTTTAAACAAATTTATGTTGGGAAACTTATGATGATAAATTGGAGTATTGTCTTATGTTGCTTCATCTTGCAGAGGTTTGGACATTCCTTGTGTGGACTACGTGATAAATTTTGATGTTCCGATGCACAGCAAGGATTACATTCACCGCGTTGGTAGAACTGCTCGTGCCGGCAAGTCTGGCGTTGCCATCACCTTTGTGTCACAGGTATGGTACAGGATGCAGCATTTTGTAAATTTATATAGATTTTATTTTCACTTAGAAATTCACAGAACAGATTTTTTTTAGTACTGTACCATATAAATCATTACTGTAGTAATGATTTATAATAACTAATCCTTTTTTTTATTTAACATCTATTTAAAAATGTGTTATTAACCTAGTTAATTAAATTTTTCTCTGAACTGTTAACTACTGATTAACAGGACTTTAATGAATCAGTGATGTGAACATAGAGGAAGCTGGGTATTAAAGCCCTTGTTCTTCTACAGTTGTTCCTCAGAGGGTTTTTTTTTTGTCTTGTCCTTAAAAAAATAGTCAATAACTAAAATATTTGCCTGATTCTGCAATTATCTGCCACAGGCTGTCCATAGTTTCCGAAGTCTCATGTATTTTTCCTTTACCATGCTGCCATATTTATGTTCTCTGCACGTACTGATCTTTATCCAGGTTAATTCATACAAACTGTTATATTTTGGACCCTTTACCATCTTAAGAAGTACGCCATGTTAAGGGACTTTTATTCTAAACAGCAATCAAGAATATGCCTTTATTACTGTAAAAAAAAAATTGAAGTGCTCCACATCTTATAGATGATGTGTCTGATTTTATGATGCTGATGGATAGGTCTGGGTGACCTTTGTCTCGAATCACTTTCAATCTTCTTTAGCCCATAAATAGTTAAGACGAGTGACAAAAAGCAGTGTTGAAATTTCTTTTGCCATTGCTGCTGGTGACCTACAAGCCCTCATGGTCATTACTTCTGGGTTGACCCATTGCAAAGCCTACATGAACCTTTGAAGATGTCTACCTATGTTCTGGCACAACCTGCAAGGGCTTTGAAAACTCCTATATCTGATACAACACAGCCTGCAGGAGCCTTGTAAAGTTCTCATAATCCATCCTATCATTTTTCTGGCTGACGCAATATTTGCTTGGTTATGCTCCCTAAACGTTAGGTCGTCAGTCATCATTATTCCCAAATCCTTTACATGTTGCTGTCCTACTATTGGCAGATTTAATTATGTTCTGTACCCTGTATTATGTTTAAGGTCCTCATTTTTACCGTACCTAAGTACCAGGAACTTATCACTGTTAAACATCATATTATTTACTGCTGCCCAGTCAAAAACTTTATGAAAATTACAAGCAGATATTAATAATTTTCATACTTGTATTCAACATGATTGAATACATTTTATTATGTGACATTCACTTCAAACTTTTAAGAATTAAGTTTTTGCATGTTGGGAAAGAGAGGCTTATAGTTAGAGAAGAGTGATTAGAGACTGCTTTTATATGTAGGTCTGGGGAAAATTTTACCAATTTACTAACATTAATTACATTTTCAGTATGAAGTGGAAGTGTATCAGAGAATAGAACAGCTCCTTGACACAAAGCTTGATGTGTATCCAACAGTTAAAGAAGAGGCTCTGGTCTTAGAGGAAAGAATAGTGGAAGCAGAGAGATTTGCCAAACTGGTAAGGAACTCTTCAGTGATTTTGATAAGTGGGCAGAAACGTCATGAAATTAGATATAGCCCTTACTGCATTCTCTTGAAGCCTTTTCCTTCTATTTACACACAAATACTGTACCTTCTTGTGCTTCACAGGCATAAATGACTTCTGATACCTTTTAGCAGGCTTAGAGCTTCCTCTTCCCATGGTTCATTGTAAGCCTTACATTACTGTTTTCCCTGGAACTCTACCTGACCAGTTGGTTAACAACTTACTTGGTCTCCACTTACTGCCGTATGAAAGGGAGTAAAGAGTTATGGATTGAGGCCCAATTGACCCTTCTTAGCCAGAGCTTGAATCCATTCAAAATCACTCGTGAAGCACGGGGCAAGTGTGGTACCATTGCACCACTTCTATGTCAAAGCTCATTTCAATTTGTTTGTCACCCCTCACTGCACACAAGTATTTTCATGTATCACTCTGACTCATTTGCTTTTAACTTTTTCCTGTGATGCCTTCCCTCTCCTAGGAAAGACCTATTCTATGCTTTCTTGTATTTGCATGTGATTATTTTATTGTATATTTATACAAACATGTAAGCATAAATAAGCCAGCCAGTTTAATTAATAAAAGATTATCTGAAACCCTGATTATAACCCAGTTTATCCACATTAACACTTGGAGTCTCTGCAGGAGATGTCTCGGCTGGACGAGAAAGGTGGAAGGAAAGGCAAGAAGCGGGACGCCTTTGGCGACGACACTGAAGAAAGCATGGGTGTTCGGAACCGGATGAACAAAAGGAAAAATTTTAAAAAGTAAACACTTATTAAGTTGTGTACTGTACATGTAATGCAGAATGTTTAAAACTTGAAGGGTGCTGTGGATTTCATTTCCTGTGTTGTTAATGAAATGGTGCCAGTTTTTTTTCGACTTGTGTATTTCAGTATACAGTACTGTACTATAAAGTGTTACCTGCAAATTAAAATGTTAAATAAAATACTTTCATCTAATGTTAATGTTATATTAAAACTGTAAAGATAAAATAGTATTATTGTCACTTTGTTCATTATTACCTCTCATTTCATTTCGACTGCTTTACCCTGGTCGGCCATGTAAGCACAAGATGAATGTGTATAACAATGATCATTGTGGTTAATATATAGCAAAATGTGAAAGAGTTTTTACATTTTTGTATAACCAAACATTTGTTGACAATTCTAAGATGCTTCATACTAATTATAGGGTAGAAGGTCCTACCATTACCACATTTGGGTGTTCTCTGGGTAATGCCTAGCAATGGAGGAAACAAATTAATGCACTTACACATGGAACTGGCTAGGTTATCTAGTTCCAATACCTAACCCCAGACCTAAATTCCACCATAACTATTGCTTGTACAGATTTTTTAGGGCTTAAATGTTCCCATTAATTGATGATGATTTTTGTCCTTCGTTGTCAAAGATGGCCATGACTTCAGAATATGGGTTGAGATCATGACTGGCGCTTGACTTCAATTTAAGTGAGGGAGAGTTGCGCAAATCACCAGCCTCACTCTCTTATCCTGGCCTATTTCTGTCCAGCAACAAGACAAGTCGAGATAGCAGGAGATAATAGGTAGCCTTAACTCACCGAGGGCCCTCAAACCTTCGGCTACCTTCACCTGGTTGCACCTGCCAGTCGAAGTAGTTTACTGGGGCGTGGCCGCTGTTGCATCCAAACCGCTACTAGGAGCCGCAGGTGAGAGTTGAGTGCTGGTGGGTACTAAAGCAGGCGAAACCACCCAAAGGTGCGACTGTTCCCTGTCAGAGGTACTACCCCTCACTGACACCCCAGATAATAATCTGGGGTGTCAAAACTTTGATTATAGTGCACATGCAAGAACTTTCCCATTTATTAATAGTTCAGGAAATAGGTCAAATAACTGTGCATTATGCTACAATTGAGACACGTCTAGAAACTTGTCAAGTAGGAGAGAGAAGTTTTATTTTCCTCCACATATTTAATGAAAAGTACAGAATAGCTAAATTCATATAACTGAAGGTGAATTTTATTATCTCCCTTGTTAATGGCATACTCTGGCAGTGACTGGTTATGAGAGTCACTGCCAGAGTATGTATATAAAGATGGGACTTTTTATATTCTGTAATTAAGAAATGCTGAAAAACTGTGGTGTACAGTGCATCCTCCAATATCTGGACCTCCCTCTAAACAAGGGACCAAATTTGCACACCGGATTTACCCTCCAAAAATTATTAATAAGGATTTCGTAGGGAATGTAGTGAAAACTTGAATCATTTCGTCACCGTAATTTTCTTCAAATCGCATTTTTTCATATTTTCCTACTCTTGCATTTTCATTTGTAAGTCTTGTTCAAAATAATGCATTTTTATTTTACAAATGACTTACTGAGCTTGTAATATGTTATAAATTGCACAAAAAGTCTTGTGAGAATTTTTAGTTACATTTAAAGTCATGCTGAGTGCATGTATGGGTCACTCGTAGTGTGACCTCTCATTACTCGAGCAGTTTCACAGCATTGTTGGATTATAGTTATCGGGAATATGAAACCAAGTCATCCACCTAGAGTGGCAAGGGTAAAAGAAATTTTATGACTGTGGATTCAAAGAAAAAAATCTGGTAAATGATTCACAGAGAAGTGTGGTATTAACATTAGTAGTGTTTCCAATATTAAACAACAAGGGAGTTTATTAATATGGGGTTTTTTAATAAGAGGGAGAGCAGAAGCAAGCATGTAAATATGATCAGCTAGATGATGCAGTTTCTGCGGCCTATGCAGCATTGTGTGTATTTACGGCATGATGCGAAAAGGCATAGTATTTCACTGCACTAGGTTTGAGAAGCCCAGCCTGTTTTCTAGAAAGGTAAGTAAAAATTTTGCTCTGTAAATTTATTCGTTACAAATAATATACCGCACCAAAATACCGGTAATTGTTTATATGTATAAATATGCATAAACATGTATTGCTTGCTGTTATATAAAGGTCCCAAATTTGACCATTAACCCTGGAAAAGTAACAAAAAGTGGTGGTAAATAACCCAAGAAAGGGGCAACTTTTTGGAAATCCAAAACTGTAGACTTTGGAGGTGGCATTGTACCTTAAAATATAGCACGGTCGGCTACCAATAAAGTGGTGGGGTAACGAAGCAAGACAACAGATAAGCATCTGTTCTGATTCAAAACAAAATTATTACTATCGTGATCACAAATATGATCATAGTACACATACGACAACTTTCAAATGCACTTCATCTATTAATTGTATTCTTAAGGTATATTTTCTTAACTTTTAAAATAAAAGAATACTGGTAATAAATTTTACAAATAAAAGGTAGAAATATTAATTTGGACGTGTATTCAATCTTACCAGAATTAATTATTTAGGCTTCAATGGGTTCTCACCTCTTAAGAAATTTGTTTGCAGAAAATCCAATCTGCCTAGTTTCAGTTGAAAGAGAAGGCAAGATTTTTGACCTTTAATATTGACCTTTTTTTGCAAAAACAGCTTTTGGCATCACTGCTGTCGAGGTATCTCTCCCATTGTGTCTTGTTACCGTCCTTGTGCTTGTATTGATTTAAGGATTGTGCTATGGTTTCAAAATCAGACTTTGAATATGTTGTATTTACAAGCACCTGGAATATCTGGACTCCACTCTGGCTTCCATTACTTTTTTCAGGTGGTTGCGGCTAGTTGGCTATTTTAGTCGTTACATGAAATGAACCTTTATGAGGTCATTCGTTCTTTATAAAGGAATTATTTTGCTCTTGTGAACAACAATTTGATATGCGAATTACATAATCAACTTGTGAATGACGCCTTGAGTCTTAGTGTACAATAGTGTGATCCTATGTGCTAGATAGCTTGAGCCGGTTGATATATTCTAAACATGAATATAGAATATTCATAATATAGAATGTTCAGAATATAGAACTTTAACATTCAGAATATGAACGATAACGATGCAACAAATTTGCTTAATGGAAATAGCGTTTTTGAATTGCCGGTTCAATTGAGACTGCCACTTAAACAAGGCTATTAGGATCATTAAAGCATATGTGGATAAGCCAATGGCGTTGCACAGTGAATGAAGCGAGCACCAATCAGGGTTAAGTCGGTATAGTTGGTTGGTGGCCGGTCCAGCCAGTCGCCCTTGGCCATAGGCACCTCGGTGAACCTAAGTAATAGGTTTCCTGTACCCAAGAATGGTGAACTGTATCTTCAGACGAAGATATAGGCAGGTGAGCCATCAAAATTGGTTATAAATTCAGTTTAGATGCCTACATAGTGAGAGGCAGATGGCCAGTTAAACAAGTCGGTCGTGCAGGTGAGTTAATGGCTTTTCATTGGTGCTCTGAGATTGGTAGAGGCTGGGCAGGGTGGGGAAGTTGGCGGGCTGTGGGTATCCAGACGAGTATCTACCTACATTCGGCTGGGTATCTACCTACATTTGGCTCGCTCTTCACATAACGTAACCCAACAGGCAAAAATATTGCCCGATTAACTTTTGGATGCTGATTTATTTAACTGAATCAATATTTGCCCAACTTTGCTTAGATGGAAGGGGGGGGGGATAATAAACTAAATGCAGTGAGGAGTCGTTTTATCATTTTAGTCATGCTCCGAGACGGTTACGTGACAAATACCAACGTTTATGTGAATTTTTTAAGTCATTTGACCCTTCACGTCTCGAGTTAACTGAAATCCAACTCTGGCTGGCTATTTTTAGTTGATAAAGCAGTCGAGCTCTGCTTGGTTTCCAGTCGTACTGGTGTTACAAACTCTGACAGCTTGGCGGGCGACGCAACTCTGAAAAAAAAGTGTTCATTCCTGTCACATCTCCCTGTCCTTCATAACCATGGGAGATAGTGTTAGGTATTGCGAATAACAAATCGCAAACTATTAAATGTGAACTATTCGCGTGGCCTTTCTCTGACCGCCGCATCAACAGGAAGTGATGGGGCGGGAGGATACAAGTAGGCTACGTGTCCTTCACACACTATAATCAAGTATTCCAGGCATGGTAATTGTCTAGAGAATTTTTACGGGCTCGCCATAGCCCGTGCTACATGGACATTTCGTTCTGAGTAGCTAAATCTAAAACAACAACATCTAGAGAAAGCTCTATATTCCAGTACGTGCATATCGATATAATTTTTTTTATAGCATAATGGGTTCAATTGGTGGTAACAGGATGGATTTTGAACATGCATTAAATGAAGTAAACTGCCTTGATAGAAATCTTGACCGCTCATTATTTACAGTTATTCATGCTTTGCTAGTATACACGTTTACGCATTGATAATTTACAACTAACGCATTTAGTATACATTTACCTACTTTTCTTTTACGTTTCAGTATTTACTGAATATGTATGACTGTATCAAGTATGTTTATTGAGACAAGAAAATGCATCTCGAAGGTATAGAGTAGCTTAGGCTATTTCTACCCTCCCCCCCCCGCCCCCCTCCCCTTATGACCGTATCTGGGAGTCGTCGTCTATACCTGAGGACAAGCTAGAGGCGGTTAGTCTTCCTATTCGGAAACCAGGTTCTCTAGGGTTATCCCCTCCGGACTTCCGCCCCTTCGCCCTCACAGAGTTTCGTCTGCAAACTTTGAAACGTATGGTCAATGTCAGTCTGATGTGGTTCTTGGAACACTATCACCACCTCTCCCCTTCTCAATTTGGCTTTCACAAGTGTCGTAGCACGACCGATGTCTTGGTGAACTTGGAGGTCTATATTCGTACTGCCTTTGTTGCGAAGACCTCCGTTGTTGCTGCTGCCCTTTTTTGACTTGGAAAAGGCGTATGACACCACCTGGAGATACCATATTCTGTCCCAACTCCGTTCTTTTGGCCCTCGTGGTAATCTCTCTCTCTCTCTCGGTGAACTGCTCGGTGAAAAGTTCTAGGTGTACTGCTGCTCTCAGATTGCTCATTGACAATCCAAGGTTACACTCAACGTCTCCTTTAAAGACAGATTCTTTGGCTAAGAAGCTCTATCATGCATTCGGAGGCCAACATG